TTAAAACTATGTATGGTTCCCGCCTCCACTACGTCACTTTCTAGGCTATTCCACGGCCTGACTACTCTATGACTGAAGAAATACTTCCTAACATCCCTTTGATTCATCTGAGTCTTCACCTTCCAATTGTGACCTCTTGTGTCTGTGTCCCATCTCTGGAACATCCCGTCTTTGTCCACCTTGTCTATTCTGCGCAGTATTTTATATGTCGTTATCATGTCTTCCCTGGCCCTCCTGTCCTCCAGTGTCGTCAGGCCGATTTTCCCTCAACCTTTCTTCGTATGATAATCCCCGTAGCTCTGGGACTAGTCTTGTTGCAAACCTTTGCACTTTCTCTAATTTCTTGACGTGCTTGACTAGGTGTGGATTCCAAACTGGTGCTGCATACTCCAGTATGGGCCTGACGTAAATGGTATACAGTCTTGAACGACTCCTTACTGAGGTATCGGAACGCTATCCGTAGGTTTGCCAGTCGCCCGTATGCTGCAGCAGTTATCTGATTGATGTGCGCCTCAAGAGATATGCTCGGTGTTATACTCACCCCCAGATCTTTTTCCTTGAGTGAGGTTTGCAGTCTTTGGCCATCTAAGCTATACTGTGTCTGCGGTCTTCTTTGCCCTTCCCCAATCTTCATGACTTTCCATTTGGCAGGGTTAAACTCAAGGAGCCAGTTGCTGGACCAGGCTTGTAGCCTGGCCAGGTCTCTTTGTAGTCCTGCCTGTGTATGAGTGTGTGTGTGTGTGTGTGTGTGTGTGTGTGTGTGTGTGTGTGTGTGTGTGTGTGTGTGTGTGTGTGTGTGTGTGTGTGAGTGTGTACCTCACCTGCCCCCCCCCTTTTTACTATTTGCTACTGGGTCCTCTCTCTCTGTTTCATGAGCTTTATCAAGCCTCGTCTTAAAACTATGTATGGTTCCTGCCTCCACTACGTCACTTTCTAGGCTATTCCACTTCGTGATAATTCTGACTGAAGAAATACTTCCTAACATCTCTTTGACTCATAGGAGTCTTCAACTTCCAATTCTGACCCCTTGTTTCTGAGTTCCATCTCTGGAACATCCTGTCTTTGTCCACCTCGTCCATTCCTCGCAGTATTATGTATGTCATTATCATGTCTCCCCTGACCCTCCTGTCCTCCAGGGCCGTCAGGCCTATTTCCCTTAATCTCTCATCATTGGTCAATCTTCTTAGCTCTGGGACTAGTCTTGTTGCAAACCTTTGCACTTTCTCTAATTTTTTGACGTGCTTGACCAGTATGGGGCTGACATAAATGGTGTACAGAGTCTTGAACGATTGCTTAGCGAGATATCGGAGCGCTAGTCTCAGGTTTGCCAGACTCCCGTATGCTGCAACAATCTGATTGATAAGAACATAAGAAGATAAGAAAGAAGGAACACTGCAACAGTCCTACTGGCCTATGCGAGTCAGGTCCAATTCTCCCGCCTTGACCTAGTGAGGTCAGACACGTCCCTTGAGGGAGGAGCACGGCATCCGACCTACTAGCACAAGCTAGTCAGGTCCAATTCACACCCACTCACACCCACTCATGTATTTATCCAACCTATTTTTAAAACTACACAATGTTTTAGCCTCAATAACTGTACTCGGGAGTTTGTTCCACTCATCCACAATTCTACTACCAAACCAGTGTTTTCCTGTTTCCTTCCTGAACCTGATTTTTTCCAGTTTAAAGCCATGGCTGCTTGCCCTGTCTATGTTAGATATTTTTAGCATGCTATATACATCCGCTTTATTAATTCCTGTTTTCCATTTGTACTCCTCAGTCATATCCCCGCTAATTCTACGCCTTTCTATGGCCTTCAGACTATCCTCATATGGAAGATTTCTGGTACCTGAGATCAACTTTGTCATCCTCCTTTGAGCGTTTTCCAATGCATTTATATCCATTCTGTAAGACGGTGACCAAAACTGTGCAGCATAGTCTAAATGAAGCCTAACCAAGGATGTAGAGTTGAAGAACAACCTGAGGACGTCTATTATTTATACTTCTTGCTATGAAGCCAAGGATTCTGTTAGCTTTATTACGAACACTAATGCACTGTTGTCTTGGTTTTAGGTTACTAGTAACCAGACGTTCTAAATCCTTTAAGATTTCATTATTTAGTTTATATGTGGCATGGTTATTTTCGTGTCCAACATTTAGAACTTTGCATTTTTCTATATTAAACTGCATCTGCCACTTCTCCGACCATTGCATCAGTCTGTTCAAATCATCCTGGAGTGCTCTAGTGTCCTCATTCGAATGAATTGGACGGCCTATTTTGGTGTCATCAGCAAATTTGCTTATGTCGCTATTTATTCCATCATCTATATCATTTATGTAGATTGTGAACAACAATGGGCCCAGCACTGACCCCTGTGGAACACCGTTTGTGACGTGCCCTCATTCTGATTTCTTCTCATTTATGCACTCTCTGCTTCCTATTTGTCAACCATGCCTCTACCCAGGAAAAAATTCTCCTTCTATTCCGTGTGCCTTAAGTTTCCTCAATAGTCTCTGATATGGAACTTTATCAAAAGCCTTACTTAAGTCCATATATAAAATATCATATTCAATACCATGATATACCTCCTCAAATACCTTAGTGAAGAAAGTTAGTAAATTCGTAAGACAGGAACACCCCATAGAAAAACCGTGTTGAGATTCATTAATCAATTTATGCCTTTCAAGATGTCTACGAATTGCTTCGACAATTAGTGATTTCATACATTTTCCCACAATGGAAGTAAGACTTATTGGTCTATAGTTCGAAGCCAAGGACCTGTCACCTGCCTTGTAAATAGGTACTGCATTTGCCATTTTCCACTTATCAGGCACTATGCCAGTTTGTAGGGATATGTTAAAAAGATTAGCCAAAGGTATGCTAAGTTCCTCTTCACATTCCTTAACATCCTTGTAAACACTTCATCAGGGTCTGGGGATTTGTTAGGTTTTAATTTCTCTATTTATCTGAGAACCATATCACTAGTTTCCTCAGGAGATGTGCCTGGTATTATACTCGCCCCAAGATCATTTTCCTTGAGTGAGATTTGCAGCCTTTGGCCACCTAGACTATACTCTGTCTGCAGTCTTCTTTGCCCTTCCTCGATCTTCATGACTTTGCATTTGGTGAGGTTAAATTCAAGAAGCTAGTTGCTGGACCAGGCTTTTAGTCTGTCCATGTCTCTCTGTAGTCCTGCCTGATCCTCGACCGATTTAATTTTTCTCATAAACTTAACATCATCTGCAAAGAGGGACACTTCCGAGTCTATTCCTTCCGTTATGTCATTCACATATACCAAAAACAGCACAGGTCCTGGGACTGACCCCTGTGGAACCCCGCTCATGACAGGCGCCTACTCTGACACCTCGTCACGTACCATGACTCGTTGTTGCCTCCCTGTCAGATATTCTCTGATCCAATGCAGTGCTTTTCCTGTTATGTGTGCCTGCTCCTCTAGTTTTTGCATTAACTTCCTGTGAGAAACTGTGTCGAAGGCCTTGCAGTCTAAGAAAATGCAGTCTATCGACCCCTCTCTCTCTAAGTTTGTGACACAGGATTTTCCTTCCCTGAAACAGTGCTGGTTGTCGCTTATAAGCTTGTGTCTTTCTAGGTGCTCCACCACTCTCCTCCTGATGATCATCTCCATGACTTTGCATACTATACACGCCAGTGACACAGGTCTGTAGTTTAATGCCTCTTGTTTGTCTACTTTCTTAAAAATTGGGACTACATTTGCCATCTTCCATACCTTATGTAATTGCCCAGTTTCATTGGATGTGTTTAAGATTTTGTTAATGGCACACACAGCATCTTTGCTCCCTCTCTAAGGACCCACTGAGAGATGTTGTCTGGTCCCACCGCCTTTGAGGGATCAAGTTCACATAGCAGCTTTTTCACCTTTTCCTCAGTTGCGTGTACCTCATCCAGCGCTTGTTGGTGTACCTTCCTATTCTGAATTCCTTGAGTCCTTCCTGTCTCCACTGTAAATACTTCTTTAAATCTCATGTTCAGATCCTCACATATTACTTTGTCGTTTCTTGTAAACTCCCCACTTTTTTTCCTCAATCTGATTACCTGGCCCTTTACTGTTGTTTTCCTCCTGATGTGGCTATACAACAACTTCAGGTCAGACTTAACTTTTGATGCTATGTCATTTTCGTATTATCGCTGAGCCTCCCTTCTTATCTGTGCATATTCGTTTCTGGCTCTTCGGCTAATCTCTTTATTTTCCTGGTCCTTTGTCGTCTGTACTTTTTCCATTCTTTCGTGGAAGCAGTGGAGATGTCCTATTTAAGGGCAATGTGTGGTGTAAATATTATGCAGAAAATTCGGAGTGTGGAAATTAGGAGGAGGTGTGGAGTTAATAAAAGTATTAGTCAGAGGGCTGAAGAGGGTTTGTTGAGGTGGTTTGGTCATTTAGAGAGAATGGATCAAAGTCGAATGACTTGGAGAGCGTATAAATCTGTAGGGGAAGGAAGACGGGGTAGGATTCGTCCTCGAAAAGGTTAGAGGGAGGGGGTAAAGGAGGTTTTGTGGGTGAGGGGCTTAGACTTCCAGCAAGCGTGCATGAGCGTGTTAGATAGGAGCGAATGGAGACGAATGGTATTTGAGACCTAACGAGCTGTTGGAGTGTGAGCAGGGTAATATTTAGTGAAGGGATTCAGGGAAACCAGTTATTTTTATATAGTCGGACTAGAGTCCTGGAAATGGGAAGTACAATGCCTGCACTCTAAAGGAGGGGTATGGGATATTAGCAGTTTGGAGGGATATGTTGTGTATCTGTTGTATTCTAATCACCTCTGCAAAAACAGTGATTATGCGTGAGGTGCAAGTGTTGAATGATGATGAAAGTATTTTCTTTTTGGGAATTTTCTTTCTTTTTGGGTCACCCTGCCTCGGTGGGAGACGGCCGACTTGTTAAAAAAAATATAGTTATTTATTCATTTATTTATTTTTCTGCTTACATGCTACCAGCTTATATAAACTACAATAATCAAACCTGTTTTAAGTTTGGGAGTCTTGAGAGAAGTTCCATCAAATGCGATGACCAGAATGTTTGATCAGCAGCCACCACAAGGACACACTTCTCGAGCTCCTTAGTTACAATGGCGTTCATCAGCTGTGCCAGGGACTCCTCGTTTTCCTCGCAGTAGTTCGTGATCCAAGTACTTAGTTTTAATAAGAAAGCCTGTGTTGTGGAAGTGGAACCTATATTCAGTGGGTTGGTGGTATCTGTATTCACATCATATTTAATAACATGTTGATTTAGTGTTGTTATACTGACGTTAAGATTATCAGTGTACTTCGAAGGTTGAAACTTCAAATGAACCGGAGTGTCGGAATGATCTTGATGACTTAGCGAGGCAGCAGCCAGAAGTGTGGTCGGATATTCATTATTGCTGGAGCATACCCAATGTAGTGAGGCTGCACATGTCAGTAGAAGAATATGTGGTATTTTAATACCCATTTCGATGACTCGAATCTGAAACACCCAAGGGAAAAATTCGTAAATAGTCATCCTAGAACAATGTGATCAAAACTTTTTCAGCAGCTAATACATATGTTATCACATCGTGAAAAATGTTCAGTGTTACTGGGTACATGATGTTCGTAAGACTGATGGCTCAGTGATCAGAGACTCGTGGGTTTTGACTGGCTTCCCACGAGGCAAGCTAAAATAACATATTCTCGATATATATTCAACAGATGGTCCATCTCCCATCAAGGCAGGTGACACAAGAAACATTTTCATCATCATTAATACATGATCACTGTGTTTGCAGAGGCACGCAGATATGACAGTTCACATGTCACACAGCAAATATCTCTTACACCCCCTTTAAAGTGCTGGCATTGTACGTCCCACATCCAAGACTCAAATCCGGCTAACCGGTTTCACTGAATACCTTCACAAAATATTGCCCTGCTCACACTCCAACAGCTCGTCAAGTCCCAAAAACTATTCGTCTCCATTCACTCCTATCAATGCTCACACGTGCCTGCTTTACGTCCAATTCCCTTGCACACAAAACCTTTTTAAATCTCTCCTTCCATCCTTTCCTAGGACAACCCCAACCCTTCCTCCCCTCCATAACAGATTTATAGACCATCAAAGTCTTCATCCTCTCTAAATGACCAAACCACCTCAACAACCCTCCCCCAGCCCTCGGAATAATATTTCAAAGTCAATCCACACCTCCTCCGGATTTAAACACTACGAATTTTATGCAGATATTTACACCACACATTTCCCTTAAACACGACATCTCCACTGCCTCCAGACTTCTTCTCGTTATAGTATTTACAAGTCATGCTTCACATCATATAAGAGTGATAGTGCCACTATACTCTCATACATTCCCTTCTTTGCCTGCATGTATAACATTCTTTGCCTCCACAGGTACATCACTGCACTGCCCACCTTCTTTCTTTCATCAGTTCTATGGTTTAACTCGTCCTTCATAAACCCATAAGCTGACAAGTCAACTCCCAAATATCTGAGCGCATTTACTTCTTCCATACTCCCTCCATCCAATGTGATATCCAATTTTTCTTTACATAACTCGTTTGATACATTTAACACCTTACTCATATCATCAGCAAAGAGTAAAGGTATTAACTCCCATTTAAGAGCATAAAAAGGAAGGAACACTGCAAAAGGCCTACTGGCCCATACGAGGCAGGTCCAGTTCCCCTACGCTCACTGACCGTCTGACCTCACTGACCTAGTGAGGTCAGACACGTCACTTAAAGGAAAAGCATAGCATCCGACCTAGTAGCACAAGCTAGTTAGGTCCAACTCACACCCACCCACACCCACTCATGTATTTATCCAACCTATTTTTAAAACTACACAACGTCTTAGCTTCTATGACGGTACTTGGCAGTTTGCTCCACTCATGCATAACTCTATTACCAAACCAGTGCTTTCCTATATCATTCCTGAATCTGATTTTTTCCTATTTAAAACCGTTGCTGCGAGTCCTGTCTATGTTAGATATTTTTAGCACGCTATTTACATCCCCTTTATTAATTCCTGTTTTCCATTTATACACCTCAATCATATCCCCCCTAATTCTACGCCTTTCTAGAGAGTGCAGATTCAGGTCCCTCAGTCTATCCTCATAGGGAAGATTTTCTATACATGTGATCAACTTTGTCATCCTCCTCTGTACGTTTTCCAATGCATTTATATCCATTCTGTAATACGGTAACCAAAACTGTTCAGCATAATTTAAATGAGGCCTAACCAAAGATATATAGAGTTGAAGAACAACCTGAGGACTCCTATTATTTATACTTCTTGCTATGAAGCCAAGGATTCTGTTAGCTTTATTGCGAACACTAATGCACTGTCTTGGTTTCAGATTTCTGCTAACCAGAACTCCTAAATCCTTTTCGCAATCCATAATATTAAGATCTATATTATTTAGTTTATATGTGGCATGGTTATTTACCTGTCCAACATTTAGAACTTTGCATTTGTCTATATTAAACTGCATCTGCCACTTCTCTGATCACTGCATCATTCTTTTTAAATCATCCTGGAGTGCTTTAATGTCCTCATTAGAATGAATTGGACGGCCTATTTTGGTGTCATCACCAAATTTGCTTATGTCGCTATTTATTCCCTCATCAATGTCGTTTATGTAGATTGTGAACAACAAGGGGACCGACACTGACCCCTGTGGAACACCGCTCGTGACGCTTCCCCACTCTGATTTCTCCCCATTTATGCAAACTCTCTATTGCCTATTTGCCAACCATGCCTCTACCCAGGAAAAAATTTCTCCTCCTATTCCGTGTGCCTTAAGTTTCCTCAATAGTTTCTGATGTGGAACTCTATCGAAAGCCTTACTGAAGTCCATATACACAATATCATATTCAATACCATGATCTACCTCCTCAAATACCTTAGTGAAGAAAGTTAGTAAATTCGTAAGACAGGAACGCCCCTTTGTAAAACCGTGCTGAGATTCATCAATCAATTTATGCCTTTCAAGATAGCTACGAATTGCTTCGGCAATTATTGATTCCGTAAATTTACCAACTATGTAAGAGTTATTGATTTATAGTTCGAAGCCAAGGACCTGTCACCTGCCTTGTAAATAGGTATTACATTTGCCATTTTCCACTTGTCTGGGACTATGCCAGTTTGTAGTGATATATTGAAAATATTAGCCAAAGGTATGCTAAGTTTCTCTTTGCATTCCTTTAAAACTCTTGCAAACAGTTCATCAGGGCCTGGGGAGTTGTTAGGTTTTAATTTCTCTATTTACCTCAGGACCATGTCACTAGCTACCCTGTTCGTGCATAGTTTATTATCGTTTTGTCCTACGTAACTTATTATTTCTGGAATTTCGCTAATCTCTTCCTGAGTAAAAACTGTGAGGAAGTAGGTATTGAAAAGTTCACACATTTCCTTATTCCTGTCAGTGATCTCACCTGAGTTACTCTTTGTATTTGATTCCTCATAATTTAATCCCACCCCTCTCGCCAACACTCTAGCATTTACTTTTTTACAACTCCATCTATAAATATGTTAAACGACTATGGTGATATTACACATCCCACTCTAAGGCCTACTGTTACTCGAAAGTAACCTTCCTCTCTATTGCACACCTTAATATAGCCTCCCTCTCCTCATAAAAGCTCTTTACAGCAATTATTAGCTTACCACCTATTCCATACACTTGCAACATCTACCACATTGCTCCCCTATCCACCTTAACATATGCTTTTTTTAAATACATAAATGCAACGAAAACTTCCGTACCTTCATCTAGAAATTGTTCACTTTTATGCTTCAATGTAAACATTTGGTCTACACATCCTCTATTTATTCTAAAGCCTCCTTCTTCATCTGGCACCCTACTCTTTTTCTTGCCTCTAATTCTTTCAATAATAGCCCTACCAAACACTTTAGTAGTATACTCCAGTAAACTTATTCCCCTATAATTTTTACACTCCTTTGTCTCCTTTACCTTTGTATAAGGGAACTATACAAGCTCTGTGCAAGTCCCCAGGTATCATCCCCTATTTCATAAATTTATTGACCAGTATTACCAACCACTCCAAAACTCTCTCTCCACTTGTTTTTATTTCATTATCCCATCAATTCCAGCTGCTTTACCCCTTTTCATTATTCCCAGTGCCTCATGCACCACCCCCATACTCACAACTGGGTCTTCTTTATTCCTAAAACATGTTATACCTCCCTGGCCAATGCATGAAATTACTATCTCCCTCTCCTCATTAACATTTAACAGCTTCTCAATATATTCCCACCATCTTCCCAAAACCTCCAATTTATCATCTATTACCACCTCTATTCTGTTTTTTAAAAGTCAAATTCATTTGTACCCTAGGTTTTAACCTATTTAACTCCATTTTTTTTTTCTTCTCAGCAAAATTTGTTGACAAAGCCTCAAATTTGTTAACAGCTCTCCTTTAGCAATCCCTCACCACTCTCTTCATCTCTCTTTTACTCTCCATATACTTCACCCTTCATATTTTACTTCTGCTTTGTAAAAATGACTCATAAACGAAATTTTTTTCCCTTACTACACTCACTACCTTTTTATTGCACCAATCACTTAATATTATATTGCCAATATCTTCATTAATAGCTAAAATAAAGATATCTTGCTTCATATTATCTGACCTTATATTATTATCTATTTAGGTAAGATATTATATTGCCAATATCTTCATTAATAGGTAAAATGAAGATATCTTGCTTTATACTATCTGACCTTATATTATTATCTATTTAGGTAAGATATTATATTGCCAATATCTTCATTAATAGCTAAAATAAAGATATCTTGCTTTATATTATCTGACCTTATATTATTATCTATTTAGGTAAGATATTATATTGCCAATATCTTCATTAATAGCTAAAATAAAGATATCTTGCTTTATATTATCTGACCTTATATTATTAGCTATGTAGGTAAGATATGTTTTTGTTGAAATACGGTGATTGGCTATCCACTGATGGAAACAGCCTTGCTAACTACTGCGAGGTTGAGTCGGGGGTCGTTCGGGTGCGTACCATGATCCAAGCTGATGTAAGGCATGAAGGTGTTGCTTCAGTCAGCTCCCGCCTGCTTCGAGCCCTGGGAACATCTCTCTCTCTCTTCTGGCTGTCTGATCAGAGTCGAGTTTTGGGTAGAAGATGGTTTCGTTGGCGAGCCAAAACCTACCTCTCATAACTCCGTGCATCGGTGATGAACAGAATCATTCTCGGACTTCGTGATTTTGATGTTAACTAAAGTTGCGAGTCTCTCTGACTCTCTAAACAAAAGCTTATGATTTAATTTTTGTGGCAACCAAGTATTGCTGCAGTCGGGAATTGTGCAAGACCGAACTTAGGTTCAGCATGAAGGGATTTGTATAGCTTCTATAGAGATCCTATTTAAAGGTCCCTGTTAGGTTTGATAAATATATCTCCTCGTTCCTGACCCGCTG